TGTTGTTGCTCCTTTATAGAGAATAGATTTGGATATCGTTGGTCTACTCGCAGAAACTCCAAGGGGTAATTGCTACATACTTGTGGTTATTGATTACATCACAAAGTGTATCCATTGACTGGCATATTAAACTCAATTGTAGTGGACACATTAACTAAGGACTCGATAATGCAGTTTAGAGCACTAGAAGAAATCCACTTGGACCAAGGTCTAAGTTACGCTGCTAAATTTTCACCAAGTTGTATAAAGAGTTAAACTTATACTCCACCTAATCACCCCCAGTTTGATGGTTTGGCAGAATGGATGCTGGAGACGTTTGTTAAACCCAATGGGACTAACTGGGGCAAACACTTGCCATATGTAATAATGGCATACAGATCAATGGAAAGTTCCAAGGATGTTTGCTGAGCCTTCACATGTTTCAGCAGGAAGTTTCACTTTCTATGGATGTCATATATAGTCCACAATCAAGGGTGGAATTCTGTCAGTGCACCAAGAGTATGTAGTAGTTGAGGTCTACAATCACAAATGTATATGAGTTTGTTCGTCAACAACTAGGGAAAGCAGCAAGATGACAAAATGACAGTAAACGAGAGTGAATTGCACTGTGATGACTGGGTATGATTGTGGTACATGCCTACAGCATAGACGCAACTTGGATTCAGTTGGATCAGTCCATACTAAGATTTGGACAGGTTGTTCCTCTAATTTATGAGACACTCCAGGTGCAAAATGTACGAAAGCCCGTGGAGAACGTCAATAAGGTATGTCCATATATCACAAATGAGCCCTAATACATTTGCATGACTAGGAATATAGGGAAAAAGACAGATGAGACAAAGAAATGGATGCCATTCTGAGCCTAGATGACCTACCTAATGAGGATAAATGGAAGACGACACTAATTTCACTGTTAATGATTAGCCAGATGCAAAGATTCTGGAGAAAGAAGCAACAAATAGCCCCGACTATTGAACAAGATGATGATGTGGGTGGGATTGTTCAACGTTTTATGAGTGAATTTTCCGAGTGGAAAGTACATTGTGGAATTTATTACCTGGAATTCACTGGACCACACAATGATCTTCCTGATAGAAATACCAGACTAAACATTGACAGTGAAGTATAAACTTCTCTGAGGATGTGGAAGTACAGTAGTGACAGCACAAATTTTAATCTTGGTGAAAAGGCTTTTTGTTCAAAAAGTGCATCTAGTGATGTACGAGTGTTGAAAAGATTACACTGAGTCCTTCCTAAATATTTTAAAGATATAAAAACAATGTGTGTGTGTGTTTTCTTATAGCAAAGCTACATTTTAGCATTGTAAATCCGAAGACTTACCACTGTTCCACTGGGGGACTAAAACAACCACACAGTGAACTTGTAATTTACATTAATACTGAGAGAATGTTTCAACATTGAAGCATTCAACAGGTTAGGGAAGTTTCATGAAAAATGACAATAAAAGTAAAGATTCGCACTACGGTGGGAAAAGGAAATATAATTTGACTGAAGTTTTGAGAACATATTTGAAACTGTGGTTCTGGCACATTTATATTTGATGTTTCCCTAGCACAATGTAGGTATATTTTGATGGGTGTTAAATAAAAATATCTAATTGTTATTTGAATTGTTATTAATGCATGAAATTCACAAACAATGGCTTAGATTTCATAACAAATATATACATATATGTATATTAAACATCTACATATGTAATATGTATAATATAAATGGAGTCTGTTAGCTTATATTAGCTCATATTAAACATTCTGTACTTGGTTGGTCTTTCTCTACTTTAATAACCTCTGCAAGGCGACATGGCATGCTGTCAATGAGGTTTTTGATGTAATCCACCGTTATTTTATCCCAACTTATCATTAGAAGGCGCTGAAACTCAGCTACAATAGCTGGTTTATGGTCGTGGTTAGCTATTTTCCAGCTCAGTTCTGCCCAACGGTTGTCAATGGGATTACAGTATGGAGACTTTGCTGGCCATGGCAATTTTGTAAGGTTCCCCTGGTCGAGATAATTGTGTAGAATACGTGCACTGTGGACAGTGGCATTGTCATCCTTAAACACTAAGTTATTGCTAAACCTCGCCTTAGGTTATGGCAGAAATATCGTCTCCATGTGATTCTTGTAGTAGGCGCCATTGACGTTTCCCTGGAGGATATGAAGAGCAATTTTTCCGCCATGCTGACTATCTGCCCCAAAATGTACTGCACCACCTCCTGTGTGTTCTCTATGGGACAGACAGACTTCCTTCATCTGTTCTCCAGGTAAACGACGAACCCAAAACCTACCACCAGCTTTAAGAAGTTGGAAACAGGACTCAATTGAAAATATGACATGTCGCCAGTCTACTAACTGTAAGTTGGAATACTGTCTTGTCCAAGTAACATGGTGATGGTGGTACATTCTGGTGAATATCGGTTTGCAGATAGCCCTTCTTGCAAAATAACCTTGATTAGTTGGTCTCCTATTTACTATTTTTCTGGATATTCTGGAATTAATGTGTTCATCATATTCCTGCCATCAGGTGTTGCAAGACTTCTTTCAACCTTGATGTGCTTAACCTGATCAAAACACGATAATCTTGAGCAGTAATTTTTGGTGTCTACCAGTAGACTTTCCTGGAACAACGTTTTCTGTAGTCTGATGACGTGTCAGGATTCTGGATACAGTACACTGGGGGTACCTTACTGTTCTGGCAATGTCCATTTGCTTCATGCCATTTCTTGACAATTGAATATTCTGAAGCCCTATAACTTCTGGTACATGACTTTTGGGATATTTTTAATAAGCAAGCAGTTCAATCTAAAAATTTCTTAACTTTGTCTCATTACAAAATACAGTTTTAAGGCATGAAACTGCTAGTTATAAGTGTAATAGGATGGAATGAGTAGCTACATGGCGATGCCTTGTAATTCATGCCATACTTGTCACACAATTTGTACATGAAATGAAGTCTATGAGAGAAAGCAGTAGAAATGTTGGAAAAAAGCTAAAGGTCAATGTGAGGCCAACGTACCTGACCCGAGTCAGCTCGTCAGTGTAGGACCCCTGTAGCCTTTATGAGTGTGAGTACAAATTACGCCTGTAGACTCGTTGTTTGACTAGTACTTTCTTTAAGATTTTAAATGAATGTTATGAACCCTTTCAGTTCTACACACTCAGTTGAACTTTTGGATAATTAGGATCTGGTCATCTTTACATTTGAACTCTGACTTTGGGCTTGTAGACAATATCTTCTGTGAACAGAATCCTTTAACATGTAGGACCTTCCTGATGTTGTCTAGGGAATCAGTCTCCTCTCATGATCACCACTGTATCATTTAACGTTTTGCTCTAAGACATGCTAAGGACGTCCCTGTTATTGTCCAAAGATCTTTCTGCTACAGAAGCCATGCATTTGACTCTACCATATGTTATACCACCTAAATGAAGGTGTACAAATCTTTTTGTTATATGTTATTTTGCTGACTAAATTTTCAACTTTAAAATTCAGTATTTGAAAAATGGACTTAGCCGAATTTAAAACGTTACCATTCTTTACGTTATATGTATCTTCATAATCAATGTTCTCTGTGAAAAATCAACAATCGTTTAAAACATTAGCCTTCTTTGTTAGCGACTGTAACGATACTGAACGGTGTATATCTTCGTTGTCCGTGATCAACTTATTAAGAATTGATCTCTGATAACATGACATTACCTTTCACCTATCTAACTTTAGACCTTTCATTTTTAGTAAGTTCAACAAGTAGATTTTATATTATTATTAGTTTGTGTAGTCACATTTGTCTAGGCTTTATTAATATTGCTGACGTCACATTACTCGAATCTTCGGTATTTTACGAGTCCTTAGTGTTTTTGTCGTGTGTGAGAATCCGACTCAACCCAAAACCAGAATTTAAAATATTATAATTTACCATTCCTCAGTGAGTGTAATGTTTACTATAATTTTCATTTGTGCACTTTGTGAGCATTATATGATATTACCTTTCATCTTTGGTAACCAAGATGGTTACATTCATCTTCATCGGACTTACAACACTAGAAACTGGGTTTCGATACTCGTGGTGGGCAGAGCAAAAACAGCCCATTGTGTAGCTTGGAGCTTAACTACAAACAATCAATTCATCTTCATGTTGTAATATTCATACACAATAAACCCCACATATGACTTTTCATTTCATTTTCGACGACTTGGATATTTGCCTCCGTATTTTCAGCATGTTCTACAACAAATACGTTTATAAAGTGATACTATATTACTTTATAATTATGTGGCTTTATTTTGTTCTTTATACTTTTTGAAAATATTTTATGCACAATGATATGATGGATCTACAATTTTTGATTTTGTATGAATATTTCGTTGGACTTTAAACTTTAAGGTAAGAGGCAGCTTAAAACTTCCTGAAAAAAGGGGAAGGTAGGGTGCGGTTCCTTGAGGTACCATATTTTCCCTTCTTTCTTAGCTTAGAACGGTAAATTATTTTCCACAATTTCCCAAAGTTTAAGGTATATTCACTTTTATAACACATTGAAATCTGCCTTGTGCACTACTTACCAAAGTTGTGTACTAATTAAACAGTTAGAATAATATGTCTCACTTGAATATATCTGGGTTTTCTTGAGCCAGTTTAATCTTATCTAATTTCTCTAGCAACATCATCGTATTTATGTTTAGATATATTTGGAGGCTATATCCTTGTTTCCGCCTATGCGATAACGTGAATAGCTCCCGTTTTAGGTATATATATAGTTATATTCTATCAGTCTTGATCCAGAATTCCTTGTGGTAAAATCTTTCAACAGAATGAAGTGCTCACTCCCACTTCATGTACTTGTCCTTCACTTCTGTTGGAATAAATAAAGACTAAGTTTTACTGTATTTTACATTGTCTTTGATTTTTGTTTCTTCAACAATCATTTGAAATTTTTATTTTTTGCCAGCTTTTTTTTATACATTTGCTAATCAAACCTCCAGTTATTTACAGCGCTCTTTTTACTATTAGGTAATTAATGAACGTGAGAATACCATACTAAACAACTTTTTTTCTTTTTCAAGAAAGTAATGAAGGTTAAGTAGTATAACCATTATGCGTTGTTCAGGTCAAAGAGAAATGAATTACATACAACTATACATTTGTTTGGGAATTGTTTTTTGCTTCATTAGTGAATTATTGATTAACATGAAGTAATTGTCTTTAACAAATTTCTAAGTATCAAAATTAAAAAATCATCACTAGTGTAATGCTACATAGGAAATGGTGTAATAAAAACCTGTATTTTTCAAAATTGTCGACTTCAATACTTTTCTGGTAGAGTGCACAGTATGAATACCTGTTTTATGTTTTCCCTACACAACACAGGGTAGTTGTTCATACTTCATTTTAAAGCCTCTGTTCTTGCTCTGCGGAAGTTCTTTAGCGTTTGTTACAAAACGTAACGTGAAGGGCATCGTAGCACCTTGAAGAATAAAAAATAAAAAAAAACATCTTCTAAACTTACAAATACGTTTTTACGTAATACAGCAAATACAATGTAAAAGATTCTTGGGAGAATAAATATTTTACAGGAAACGGAAGTAGGTTACAAAATTAAATGTTATAATTCTGTGTGTTATGTACATCAAGGTCAGCTGTACATGTAAGTAAGGCTTACAGTTAACAGTAAAAATTATCATGGAATATAAAACTAATTATTGTAGAAAACAAAAATATCAATAATCTTAATATTTAATACTCCTAATTATTTACTGCATGACTAACAATGGTTTGTGCTCGAAGTTTACAAATTAAATATATAGAAACATTACAATTTATAGGAAATATTAGAATAAGAGATTTACATTTGAAACCAAAACTATCAAGTTATTAAGAATTAGAAGCTACTAAATTCTTAGTTCACTGCTTGTCGAAGAACGTCAGGATAAACGTGCCAATCAATATCATTATGTTTAGGATTCCAAGTTTTAGTTATTAGCAATTCAATACTTTATATTACCTGTTTATTTATGGATTTTATTTTTCCTTTTCGATCACATTAAATTTTATAAATAATCTTTAAATACTTGTAGTTTTAAAATACAATTTTATTACAAGTCATGGTTCCAGGGCCATTATTCATGATTTGCAAATTAAAAAGTTGCTACTATTAAAGTTATCAAGGTTGTGAACTGTAAACATTTTCTCCATTACGTTTTCAAACTTCGGTAAAATGTTCTTATTATTTGCTACTTACCTGTAATTTTTTTTTAAATTTAACCTTTTTATCAAATTTAATAAAGTACAGTTTCCCAGTTCTTATAACTTTAGGATGATACAATAAGATTAATGTACTTTAACATAAAGTGGGAAAAAAACTATTTTTTTGTCTTGATAGAAAAAAAAAAAACAATAGAGCAAGCGCAAAAAAAATCACCTCAAATGAAAAACCACATCACAAGATCACCACAGCGAGAACTTACAAACTTCACTAAAAAATCTGTGAAAGATCAGAACTGTTATGTAACAGTTGTTTGTCAGAGAAAAACAATGACAATACATTACATATGTACATAAAATCTTACATGTGGCCAAGAGGAAGAGATTTTAGATGATGAAAGATACTCCTCAAAACAATAAGTACAGAGGGCACTAAAAGGGCAGGGGCTCATTGACAAAAAAGGGCACTTTTCAAGCATCATAAAGTAAGACTTTTGGGGAGAGGAGTTATTAGGGAAGACTAAGAAGACTGTGGGTCGCCTCTAGTAAACATAGAATAAAAAGCCATAAGAAGCTAACAGATACTCTGAATTCTTACGCATTAACACTTAATAGGATATTACAATTATTATTTCTTTTCTGTAAAGTCCTACAAGTCCCTGTGTCCCATTCATTTTAAAGTTGAGATAGTTTCTTCCCTAATAACTCGCAGCAAGTAAGGTATGGTATCAGAAGTGTCAGTTAGAAGTTATGATCAATGCTTATGACTGAAAAAGGGCACTTTGGGAACATAAGAGCAGAAAGGCAAGGGCTTGATCCCCCCCCCAGCCACTAGCAAAATACATTAAGTATAATTTCTACTCAAGCTTATAACGTCAAAGTATATTATAACCATAAGATTTATTATTATTATTATTTTTACAAGGGCTTCAAACGATATGTAACTTATAACTTAAGATAACGTGTATTTATTGTTGGAAGTCGCCTCAAGTGTTTGCATGTTGGTTTTAGAATTTTCACGCAAAGCTATACAAAAAGCTATCTGCGCATAGTCATCTCTAATTTTAGGCTGATATGCAAGAGGAAAGGTAAGCTAGTCAACATCACCCATCGCAAAATCTTGGGTTAGTCTTGCTTGACCGATTATTGGGATTTCATAGTCACTTTAATAGCGCGCCCGAGACTTCAAAATGTGGATTTCAGCATCAACGGTTTACAAACCCCGAATTCTCAGATTCAAAATCCAAATACGCTATCCAATAGTTTCTGCTTGTTTTTTGCGATAAACCATCTGCACTATCTGTTCTTAATTTTGAAGTGATAGTTTAGAGGGAAGGCAGCTAGTCAACACCACCCACTGCCAAATCTTGGATTACTCATTACCAATGAAAAGTGGGATTAACCGTCACATTGTAATGGCACCATGGGTAAAAGAATGAGCATATTCGAAATTAAGAAATAATCGCACAGAACTGTATGCATACTAAATTATGTGCAGTATGAGAAATATAACACTTCAGCAACCCAACGGAAAGTATTGTACGATACATACTGATAAAGAAATCACATTCTTCTATATTTTGTAACATTACCAAAAGAACTATAAATTTAGCTGAAGTGGATTACAGTAACACCTTAAAAATTGACATAGTTTGAATTAAACTATATTATCACTTTTTAAAAGTTGATACAGATATACAATATTGTGAAAATACTGAAGGAAGGCATTATAAAGTTAACAATATATACCGGCACAAATGTTTTCAGTAAGTATAGGTCTCAGTCATGTACAATCGCGATTTCTTTAATATTATTTTTTTTTTCATTTTTCGTGTAATTTACGCCCTTCCGCTTATTCACACAACAAATCAGCGGTTCAGCACCATTTGAACCTCGCACTGATACAAATAACACAACTGGAAATTTAAACGTGGAATTAAAATGATGCAGGTAAAACATAATTTTTTGCAAGGAGAAGCTAAACGAGATCGAGCAGGAATATTGTTCACTAGCCACAATTGGCAAAGAAAAAGTTAAGTAATATATTGTGGTGTCCAAATATATGCGCAGGGCAGCAGAATGGGTAGCTCAGTAGAGGAAGATATTGGAAAGATTAATACTCCCAGAGGGGGTTCAAAACAGCATGCAACAAAGTTAAATAAACTGAAAAATTCAAGATACAACAACAACACAACAGTTAATTTACTGTCCAGAGTTATCCTCAAACAGCAATATTCAGAGGCCCATTAAATGAAAAGGTATAGGCAACATCAAAACATTTTGAGAACAAGTTTACAGTTGGTGACAACAACACATTTGAATTAAATAGAAGCAAAAAAGAAATCCTCAGTTAGAAACCCACTTACCTTTTCGCTTTATGTAAGTTTGGAAGAGTATATTGATATATAAACTTTCACCAACCACACGAGGAGGGAGGATAGATAAATTTTCTCGTTTCAGCAGTAGTAATGTTGTACACGACCTTAGTATGTCCTAAATTCCTAGCTTCTAGACGTTTGTTACACCGATCAAATTTAGCTTTGTGGATTCACCTGAAGAAGAAATCGCTCAACACGAGAGTAATGTCCCCACACGTTTAACAGTTGGATGTGATATGTCCATATCTTTGAAATTAAAATAGAGTGTTCACACACTCATATTTTACAAGTGAAGTACCTTACACGATATGTATAAAATAAATCTGCTCATGAAGTTTACCAACTATTATATGTAGCGAAATATCATTACACGGCAGCATTAATCTTTTAACTCCAAAGCTTTAACTTAAGTAGTTTCTCAGTTTTGTTGATATTTTTTACCTCTAGAGTAACTTCTCCACTTTTCAACTAAAAGAACGCAGCTGATAAAGCAGTCCAATTACAATCGGTTGCGTTTGTTAAGCAGGTGTTGTTGCTTCAATCAGAAACTAACCGAGGCGAAGGTCAACAACATATTTTTAATGTTCCACCTCCCTCATTACCATGGAGATTACAACAGGATATTGAATATTACCAAGTGGCAAGAACATCCAATGAAATTATGATCATAATGCTTAAATGTTAAAGAACCAAGCCTAAAATATCTATTCCTCGACATGGAATAGACAGAGTTTAATTTGGACAACCATACGTTAATCACTTAGATAAAAATTCACTTTCCAGCATATTTGCTAATTCGATTATCTGTTATCTCTGTGTTCAAACTCTACCAAACGGTCATTCAAAAACTTGTAAAAATTCCCTTAGACAAAAGATTCCCTAGATGTTATCATATTAAAGCAATGCACTTCGTATAATTATTTAAGATCTTTTAAATTACTTTACTAATTTTTTGTTTGACAGCCCCTTTATTATCTTATTCCCATCTTTCAATACACTGGACATGACTATTACACCTGCAACATTTTAATATTATCTTTCAAAATCAAACTTCTTGTTATCACGGAGAACTAACTATCGTTCACAATTTACTGGTTACACTTCCTGTACTTTCTCAAGCAGCTGTGAAGAAATGAAGATGCACGGATTATCAGCATGGACACTCCTACACATTTGCCAATTCCCAAAACATCAGTTCAAAACAGATCTTGAAAGTAAAATAAGAAGTTTGAACACGAATAGGAAATTGTACTACTAATATTAGTAAAATAACTGAAAATATATGATACTCTTTTTGTTTTGTATGAGTTATATCATTAATATTGACATGAGGTGTGTCTAGCTTCAGCGATACGCAAAACCAGGCAAATGAGCTACAGGTATATTTGTTTGTTTAAATGCAAAGGGATCTCTGCACTTCACCCATCGCAGGAATTGAACCCCAAATTTAACATTTCAAGTAATGAAACTTACCGTTGAGCAACCAATGGGTGGTGGGTCAGAGAAATGCAATGTTTCAGTGAGTGAATGAAGAACATTCAAAACCACAAAAGGATAATTTGCACTTGATTTACGTGAAAGACCACAATAATTAGCGTTACATTTGGACTTGTATGATGAGTTTGTGAAGATCAAATTTTACTTTAGAAAATTAATAAGTGGCATGCCGAGTAAATTTGTTGAGAGTGAACATTTTTCTCACCTGAAAATGTATTTCACAAAGATACTCACCTTTTTGCACCGCAAAAAGAGTTATTACCTTGTTTGCGCTGCTATGTAAATTCCTGCACATGCCACTAACCTTAAATAGTTTCCACCCACATATATGTTAACATGTATTGTGCCAGCCTATAATGTTGTCATTATTAGATTGTAACCCTCTACC